ACTGTTGAATTTTATGTGGTATAAGTGCGAATAAAGCGATGTTTAATGGAAAGGTTAAAAAGGAAAAAAAAAAAAAACGGTGTTTTAGCAGAACAGAGTCCAACAGCAGATTGGTGAGCTGCGAGCTCAGTGAGCGCATAAAAACCTTTGCAAACCCTTCAGTGCGAAGTGAAAATCTGAATTCTTTTACATTTTCTTTTCTATTTTAAATATTGGACAGCAAAAAGACACGACACGAAACCACATAAAAAGTTAGATTTTGTATTTAAGGAAGTCTTCCAACTCAAATGCTGAAAATGTTTAAAAAAAAAAAAAAAAAAAAAAAAACTAATATGCAGCTTATTATGAGAAATTTTGCAACTGGAAGTACCAGCCTAGAGTCAATATTTAAGGAAATAAAGCCTGTAACCGCCTTTTTTGAACACCTTGTATGATTTGAACTGCTCTTCAACTACAGTGGTTAAAGTATAGTATAGAAGCGGATTTACGAAGTTGCGAAAACCGCAGTTGCAAAGAGCCCTGCCTTGCAAATGGTACTTAAATACTTAACTGTTCTTTCTTTCTTTTTTTTTTTTTTTTTTTCTTTTTTTTTTTTTAATAGTAAACACACCCAATGTCTTAAGGTATTTGGTCCCCAAAAGATCAAGTAACTATTTCATGAATTCGCCAGGGATTATTTTGTCTATTTTCTTATTCATTCCAACATTTATTAAGCCTGCTTTAGCAAGCATCTCTTTTTTTTATTCTAAAACACGGTGTAATTGAGTTTTTTAAAAGAAGACATGATAACTGAAATTCACATATGACTGAGCGCTAAAAAAAGTAAATAAAAAAAAAAAAATAAATAAAATAAATAAAATTTTGTTTCTTCTATCTCGCTATCCTTTTTATTTTCTAGTTTTGTAGACACAAACACACACATATGCAGGTGGGGGGACGCGGTTTAAGGGTATAACAAACAAAATAAAAGTATGTATGGTTTTCGGAGCTGATTGTATAATGAGTTTCAGCAGAACCGAATAGTATTATACCAGTAAGTCTACTGATGCAACCGAAATGAGAACAAAATTATTACACTGTAATGAAAAAAAGACATTTTTGAAGCAACAGTGTCTCAAATGAATTCATTCATTCTATCATTCAATCTATTTCTTTCAGATTATGTATCTTTTCTCCATTCTCTGTTTCAGAGACTTAATGCAAGTACAACTGATTCTATATTAAATACGATACACGGGGACCTTTTTTAAACCTTCAAGGTGTCCACGATTTTTGCATCAAAATAAAATGCAAAATTCTTTCACATTACATCTTCACCGCGCATGAATTTAAAAAAAATTCACTTGTGTAAATATTTGAAATGTTGAAATTTCAACGTACTGTTACTCAGGAAGAAATAAGAAAAAAATATTAATTATCCTTCAAAAACATTAAGAGTTAGAGCTAAAGCAGAAACATAATTTAACTTCGGTCAAGTTATATATAGCAATCTATTCTTGAATATTAATAGATTTCCTTACCAGTGCGCATTGTAATAATGATTTGTAAGTGCCAGCGCGATGTACTTATAAAGTCGGTGTCTGGAAGGATGCATATATTTTAATAGTTATATGCCAGTATCCTTTCATAAATGTTAACCATGCGATACACATTCCTGAACATCAGATGAGACCTGAATTGCGGACAAATTTAACGCATGCTGAGCAAATAATGAAATACAGATTGAAAGATTTTTATTAAATTAGTCATATTATTATAAAGTTTATTAAATTAGTCGCATGATATATACAACCGCATTCTATATAATTATGTGAGATGATCTTCAGTCGAAACGAAGCGAACTTTGAGGAAGACAATTTATTAAAAGAACTTTTAACAGTACAAGCTCTAATAAATTAATCCCAAATTTTTAACAGAACTTCATCAAACTAAAATATAAGATTTTATTTTTAGTATAGAATGTATAGTAAAGATTATTTGGGTTGAGCAAAGAATCTGAATCTAGCAGCCTAATGGAAGGAATGCCTTCGTGAAAGAAATTCTATGAGAAACTTAATCGTATTAACGTTTAATATGGGGAAAAATGCCCAAAAGTCCCACGTAGCCAGCCTGTTCGGCGAGATTTGAAAACAAAACGAACTACCAGCGTCCGGCAAATTTATAGCTCTGTAGCTGGTAGGCAGGATGCCCAATCTTACTTAAAAAAATAAATGAATAAAAGTAATAAAAGTAATAAATAAATAAAATAACAAAAATAAATAAATAAATAAAAATAAAGACAACACGAGAAGAGAAACATTCTGGCTTAAGGGATGACAGAATAAAAAATTGGAACCTGTCGCACTGATAGAAGTAAATGTAGTAATAACAATAATAACTAATTACTTAAGATAAAAGTAATGAAAATCTTATTTTCATGCGCTTTTATTCTGGAAAGAAAATAATTTTCATTTGTAAATTCTTACTTTGGATTAATTCCTCTTCATACGACTTCTCTGTACCAGAAATTAGTCTTCAACGAAGAAATCGCATAAACTGAAATATCAAAGAAGTAGTTGCGTTGATTTTTACGGGGAAAAAAACATAACCATTCGAAAAGATTCAATTCTTTGATCCTAATATTAGTATTTTTAGTTAAAAGCTTTATTTATCTATTTAGAAAATCTACAACTAGAACTACAATCTATTGCGCGAAAAAATAAATGGCGAGAAAAGCAGAGTCTAAAATTTTTTATTCGCAAACCATGTTTCCGGCTGTTTTTTCAACAATTTTTAAAACTAATTAAAAACAAAAGTAAGAAAGAAAAGAAAATTAGTGATTATGTTTAATTAACTACGACAGAATATTCGATAGCTACCTGGTCAGAGATTGAGAACTTCCTGTAGGATTTTCTGATGGGAAATTGTCGAATTTTAATTGCATATGGGAAAAACCGTGAAGACACTCAAGAAGACAACCTCCCGCAGTTACCGGATATTTAAATCCGTGATGAACCGTTTTCCACGGCTCTATGTTACCGATCACTGGTGGATTTTACAAAACCCAGTAGTTCTAGGCAATTATAATGAATAATTTGGGCAGGAAGTTTATTTTCGATGTGGCATATGCAAACATAGGTGCTTAGATAGAAAAAATGATCAAATAGCCACATAAAATTACGATACTGAATCGATTTCGATCTTCTGAAACAGGAATCTGCAATATATTGAAGTTGATCATTTTTATTACATTATAAGCCAAAGGAAAAATTACATTTTACATTAAAATAACATTAACTTTTTTTTGGTTTGCTTTCTGAATTAAAGGCAACGTTTCAAAGATGTCTTTAATTCAAAAAGCTTTAGATTCAAAAAGCTTTAGAATAGATGGGTTAGTGAGATTAATTCGCAGTTCATCATTCCTGTTATGAGCTTTTTCCTGGGAATCCCGCTAAGTTTGGTATTTTATTTTTGTCAAATAAGTCCCCCGCCCCTTGCCCACGAAAAAAAAGGTGTTGGGCTTTGGAATTATATTACAAAAAGCATTCTTTCATAGTTTCGAGGCTAGGTGCTTAATAATAAAATTTTAGAAATTTCGTTTTTGCTATTTCAGAGGCATATAAATTCAAATAAAATTATTATATATAATTTAGGTAGACACATATTTTTTTAAAAAAGGTTTTAGCAAATTTAATTTAAAATTATATCAATTTATAATAATTTCATTATGAGCACCTTTTAATTCTACAATTCACAATTGTTTTTACTGTTATTAGAGCTACATTTTATATTTGTTATTACAAAGTTTTACGAAAATATAACGGGTTTTAGATAGTTCGACTTGTTAGTTTATACATAAACATATCTCTTTTTCGGGTCAGAAACACTGATTTCCTTACTTATGAACTTAACTCTTAATATTACTAATTAAAGCAGTTTTTTTTAATACCCTATGAAATTTTGCATTCAAATCTCATGTTAAGCAACTTTTTATTTCATTTCTACCTCTGGCAATTATCGCCTGAAATCGAATAGAATGCTTAAAGCCGGCCTAACATTCACATACAATAAATTCTTTTTAATAAACTGCGCGTTTAATTTAAATTACTTCTACATCTTTGAGCTTAACTTTCCCATTTAAAACGATAATTTACCACAAGGAAAACGAATGACAAATATTAAAATTAATTTCATAAAATTTTATCTTACCATTCAGCGTAGGTCCGATATTCAATAAGACTTGAAAAATAAACTTCTTAACGTAATAGCGCAAATTAAATCCTCGTTTTCAATATTTCACATTTTGGAATTTTCTCATATAGCCTTTGGACACATTCTCAGGTAGAAATGTAAACAAAATTGAAGATAAAACTTTTCTGATTTTTTATTAATAAATTTAGAAATTTTCTGCCGGAAGACGTTAAGAAAACATAAACTTATAAACAATAATAAAAATTAAAAAAATATCGTGTGCTGTTTTCGCTTTTTTATTTTGCATTTAAAATTGTCAGTTGCCTAAATAACAAAAAATTAAAATAAAATAAAAAAAAGCTAATAAAAAGAAACAGAAATTTATCAATATCTCATTTTTAAAATCTGGTATTAATGTACGTATTCATATACTCATAATACAACATCTGTTTTTCATTCGTTCATATGTATGACTCACCAACAATGAAAAATATTTAAAATACTGCAACCCTTTCAAGAGCTGCGCGGATATTTCGTTGTAGGCATAATTCCACTAGAGGGCGGGTCGTAGACAGGAGCCTGCTCTCTACGTTCAGTTTGTATCCTTACGCTTCATTCAGCTATTTTGAGATATTTACTTTTCATTTTATTAATAAATTACTTTATGCACAGAAAATCATATGATTCTAAAATGTGCAAAATTATATGAGAGTTTTTTTTGGATTCTGGAGCATAAAAATTATAAGAAAATAATATTTTCGACGAACTATTTGTTTTCTGAACATGCGTTTTGTACGCGAGTTCATGATACGGTTCTCAGTCAACAAGGCGTCATGGTTCGAAATGCTCTCAGACTGTTGAAGGGTCAGGGTAGGACGTAGTTTCCTCGTGGTCAATGTAAACATTCCAGGCCATAACCTCTCAGCCCCAGTGCAATGGATTTCCAATCTGCAATGGAAACATTTGCAGAGGCATGGGTGGCAGCCAACACCCAGACCCCCTTGACTGAAGCTGCAGAAACACAGGTTAGTAGGATAGCTTTTAGATGCTGTACGAAATGTTGTCTTAGCCGATTATTTGACTTGTCCAATTTATTATGATTGATATATATGCGTCTGAAAGGTATATTTTTTCAAACTGAATATGTCACTAACCAGTTGTATCGTTAAACATCTTTGCCCTTCACCATAACACATGGAACTTTGCTATTTCCTGCCTATAATAGTAGGAGATGGGCATGTTTAGCGATGATATAGAATGGCTGTAATCAAAACTTTGTGTAGGATCCACACTTTTCTGAGGCATGTTTTATAAAACTTTTTCCAAATTACTAGCCAAAATACTTGATAATTCTGATCAATATACAACTATAACAAGTCTGAAAGGGTTAGACTAGAAATGTAGACGTGAACTGTCAAGGTCAGCAACTCCCGGTTTAAAAACTAAATAAAGTAAAACAGCGTATACATTACCCAAAGAAATAGCCTACCTGTAATGAAGATACAGTGTTTCTTCTGTATCTTTTGAATGCTATGATGAACCAGAAGTTTAAACTGTTGAATTTGTTATTAGCAACGAGTGGTAGCAGTATGCTGCTCACATTGTTTACATTTGTTGCCAAGCTCACCTACTCCGCAGCATCGTCTGCTACAGGCAAATCAAACAGCGTGGTTCAGATTTACTATTACCGTTGCTATTATAGTAATAATTTGTATTTTAATGACTTATCATCGCCGTTATAGTACATTTTTCAGCATTATTTATTTTGTTTTAATTTAGTCACTCACTGTAAAGAACAATATTAGGTATTCTAGTGATTTAGTTATTCGGGTTTTCCGAATTAGTTAAAAAAAAAAAGGAATATTGCGATACTTTACTTTCGATTAAACCAAATCGTATTCGCATTTTCAAAATTTCTTTTTTGAACAGGAACTTTATTTCTAAAATTTTCAGAAAATGTTTGCATATAGGCTGACTTAACTTTCTTACTTAAAACTGAGATTATTTAATGTTTTTTTTTTTTCAGTTACTGTTCATGTGAACTGTGTCTGATATCTTTTTATGCTCATTAAGCATACAAATTAGATCTTAAACAAACAATTAAAAACAATTTAAAATTATAAAATGTATAATGTAGCATTCTGGCATATTCTTTTTTTTTTTTTTTTTTTCATGAATGCAATATAGACAATTTCTGTTTTGTTCTTTATAATTTGATATGGAATGAAGTGATAGTATGTAAAATTTTAAATTTTTATAATACTTTTGAATGCTTGCATCTGTTCTTAAAAAAATCATAAAATAAAATTTATATCTTAATGTGTAATGCTTACAAAGGACAGGTATTTTTTCCTTGTTGATTAGTTTATATAAAGCTGAATTTTAGTTATATTGTTGGTTTAGAGCTTTTTTAGCTCATTTCTTTTTAAATATTAGTTTTGTTTGAATGCAGTATCTGTAACTTTTTAAAAATATGTAAATACTGAAATGTCATGAAATATATTACCTACATTGTATATTATTGATATTGTACTGTTATTTTAATGAATAATTCAGTTATAAATTTTTACTTGTTATAAACAAAAGTTCTGCATTTATAATTTATAACAATATCATAAATTTATGGTTAAAAATTAATGCCATTGTATCTTTAGTACAAGTCCGAAAACTTCAAAATAGTTAGCAGTTACGATTATACATCTCGAGTGACTTGAATTTTTTACTCGACTTTTCAGTACAGGTCACTTCATTTATAATTAGCTGAGATTTATATATTCTAAGTTAAGAGTGTTTCATAATAATGTAGAGTAAAACTTTTTGAAGGATGAGATCATCTGCTGATTATAGTAGTTGAGAGAAAGCAATAAGATGCTTTGGAGCAGTCATTGTATGATATAATTTGTGTGTGTGTGAAATAGTTTTTTTTTTTTTTTTTTTCATTACAGTAGCAAAACCAATCACAATAGAAACTGTCTAGAAGACTTTCTCTGACATAGGTTTCTAGAAAAAGTGTTTGAACATCAAATCAGATCTGATTTTTGCATTGCTTTCCTGTAAAGACTAGTGATTAATTTTTCCTGGCTGAAAAAAGTTATGTGTTATGTTTATTTCTTTATTAAACACAATCAAATATTGATAATTGGAAACTGAAGAGAATGAAAAAGCTAATGTATTTTACAGAGAAAATTTAATATTAATTTGAATTCTACAGGTTGCTCATCATTTCGATTCACTGAAAATATTAATCGATCTTAGTTTGAGTAATTGAATTTCTACTGTTCTTCTACTAGTTTCATTTGTTCTACTGCTGTTGCTGTTTTATGTGATGAATGTAACAATATCAATGTTAATTACTGAAAATTCATAATTCACCACATTATAAACTTTAGAATTATTTATAAGATAAGGGTTGGAGTGACATAAACTCGTCTGTGACCTGGATTTTCTCTCAATATAATTTTTTAACAGTTTTCCCATATTATATACAGGCATTATGTGTGTCTGTCTATATGTACACATAAATACAAAAAGAAACGCAAGAAGAGGCTAAAATTTAAGGTAAATTTTTATACCCATCCTGCACTATAGCTGCAGGACTGAAATAAATAAAATTAAAGATGATAAATTTAAAAGTGAATTGGTGTCAAAGCAAGGTTATTCCTCAACAATATTAATATTAGCAATTGTGTATAAGAGGTTTAACACAAAATCCATACATATCAAAATTAAAATAAGAATTCACAGTAATACAAACTAAAAATAAAAATGTAAAAGGGGAAAAAATATAAGATAATAAAATTATAAAAATAATAATTAATCTCCTTTTAATGAAAGTCCGATTCAACACTCATCAGGGAAAAAAAGAATTAAAGTTTCACGAAAGTCGATTAACATGTTTCGAAAATGTGTTTCATTTGAGATCAAAACCTGAAAATAAGATTCTTAAAATTTTCATTTAAGTAACTAAAATTCATATAAAACTGGAAACTTGAATCACAAAGCACCATTATTTTTCCTATACGCCTTCGAAACATTTAATAAAGCAAGTAAAAACATAACATTGTGCTAAATTGACTACTTCCCCCCCCCCAAAAAAAAAACACAAAACATTACTTTATGTAGAAAGATTATTAAAAAAGATCAAATTCATCTAAAATCATTCTATGCAAATCTGAAATTCAAAAGCAATAAATATAAAGGTATATATATTTGTTTAACTTTTTTATTTGCTTTACTTTCAGATGAAATAACTTTGTTTTACTCTTATATTCATTTGCTTTGAATTCGGATTGCATAGATTATTTAGACCAATTTGATTTTTTGAATGGTTTGTAGATAATGTAAAGTTTTGTGTTTTTTTTTTTTTTTTTTTTAGTAATCAATTGAGCACAATGTTATGTTTTTATTAATTTTACCATGTGTTTCGAAGGCATGTGGGGAAAATCCTGGTACATTTTAGATTCCATTTTTTACTTTTATATGAATTTTAGTGCCTTGAATAAAAATTTAAGAGATTCTTTTTCGGGTTTTGATCTCAAATGAAACATGTTTTCGAAACATATTAATTGACTTTTGTGAAACTTTAATTCATTTTCCCGTGATGAGTTCTGAATTGGAGTTTCAGTAAAAGGAGATTAATTATTATTTTTATATTTTTATTATCTTGTATTTTTTTGCATTTTTATTTTTATTTTTAGAGTTTGTACTACCATGAATTCTAATTTTAATTTTAATTTTGTGTTAAACCTCTTATACATGATTGCTAATATTAATATTGTTGAGGAATAACCTTGCTTTGACTTCAGTTTACTTTTAACTGTAGAATCTTTAAGTCTGTATATACACATACATACACATACATACACATTCATTTCATGCATACACACTTACACATTTAATGCACACATACACATGCAGGGCTAGTGCTAGATGTTTCGCTGCCCAGTGCAATATCTGCAGCTCATAAATTCTGCTTCCCATACATATGTTTTTCTACCTACATGCATACACATATGATTTTAAAATATCTGAACCTCCAGTCATTACTGGAGCATTGGATATTTTTAATTTTTTATTGGAATTATGTCATATTGATTACTTCAAAACGCAAATGTGATGATTAACATTGGGATAATGTTATTTGTTATCAGCATGCCGTAATTAAGTTTCGGAATCATCAGCTGTCATTCTTAAATTTGTTAATATATTTAAGGTTTTAAAACATTTTTTTTTTTTTTTTAGGCTTTTAATGTGTGATGCTAAAGATCATGCATACTCAGCGAATGGTATATTGACTGGTATCTTTGGAAATAAAATTCCACACACATTTTAAAATAGCTAAATAAATTTATTAAGAATTTTCAACAGTTTTGAAAAATGCTTAGTTTTGAACCATGCGGTCTTCCACAAAAATTTTTTTCTGAAATGTAATATAAATAAATATTCATTATGAAAACTGGCCTATCGACGACTGAGTAGTAAATTCGCTGAACACTGGTAGTTCTTTCTGAGGTTTGAATCGGCTGCATGTGCAATTTCATGGCTTTTCCTCATATGTAATATGCATACAAGCTGGTTTCCCTTAGAAAGTCCTCCACGAAGGTATCCCTTCCCTTAGGCAGATAGCCCTCGAGGCTTTGCCGTAATCCAACAAACCAGATCATTATGTTAACCTATGATTATTACTTTAAAACTGGTGAACTTATTTATTGATTTTGGTTTTTAAATCTAATAAAATTTATACTTAATTAGCTATCTCAATTTAAATGCCTGCCTACAGATTCTAATTATATAAAACTAATATGTAATCATGTTAAAGCTAGTGCCAGAAATGTGTACTCTTATTGGACAACTTTGTTTGCATCTTGTTTGTGATGTACTAATATGGACATCTGGTAACATATATTGAACTTTGATAATTCCTTTTTTAAGTTGGACCAATTTCTATTGAACAGGTTCAATTTTTATTTCTGTGTGAATACTGTGGTATGTCTACAGGCACGGTAAATGACATTCTGTATTGTAA